CTTCTTAAATTCGTTAATGAAACAATTGTTGGTGAAGTGATTGTTGACAAAATGAATCAAACCCATATTTATTTCTATGTTTATCAAATTCGTGATTTTAATTGGTCAACCAACAAATGGCATGGGTTAAAATTTTGTGTTCCCTCCTGTTAATTTTGTATTCCCAGAACGTTGTCTATTAAATGTGTGTAACGCCGATCTATCCATAAAAGGAATTTTATCTATGCTTTGTCTATATATAGTTTTGTTGCAAGATGCTCCATATAGTAATTTTTGACCTTTTATTTCTTTCTATGGAAAGGATCTCTGTAATGTTACACGAAATTTTTCTGAAAACTAAAAATTGGGGTTCTAATTCGGGTTTTCTACTGTATCACCTTGTGGCACAAAAAGAATAACACAAAGATTAACGGTTGATAATTTCCCAAATCTGTCTTATTATGAGATTACATAAATAATAAAAAAGATTGACGGACGATTTATTTATTATTGTTATTATTATTAGAATTTTTTTTTTGTGACAAAATTTTATTCTAAAAACGTAGATCATATCAATATTACTTTATTACATATTGTGGTTAATTAAAAATAGAAGTTGATCCAAAATTTAATTGACGATCCATTCGGTCTGAGATTTTATAAATATATAATTAAAGTAAATCGTGTAATTTATGGCGTTTCCCTCGCCGGAAAAACTGGTAAAATAAAATCTTTGACCCCTGAAAATTCTTTTTGACATCGTACACTTTTATATGATATTAATATAATATTTTCCTAAATTATTAAATTAAAAAAAAAAAAACTTGTATTAATCATCGTTTTAAAAATTTTTACCAATTTTAATTTCAACTCCAAGATCTTCTACAAAAGTTAATAAAAGTAGTATTGCTCTAGTTTTCATACATTTATATTTTTGGTTGAAAGTTTTAATTATAACTTTTTATGTCCTCGATCCAAAATCTTAACACTTACGGTAATAAATATATTAATATTTTTAAGTCAGCTACTTTATTTAACCTTACTAAACTTAACTACCTTTGTGACTATAGACCCTTTTGCTGACACTGGTGAAGAAGACGCAGGACAACCAGCTGGGTATATTCGTAAGTTTACTAATTTTTCTTGTAGATACATAATTTTCCGCATGTTGGCTTTAATAAATATTGTTATTAATAGATATTCGTATACAACAAAGAAGCGGAAGAAAAACTTTGACAACTGTTCAAGGCCTTCCTAGCGAATATGATCAGAAAAAATTGTTAAAAGCTTTTAAAAAGGTTTATATGAAAACTGTGAGAAATATATAATTGTGATGTTTAATAATTGCTAATATGATTGAATATTTCATTTTTAATTAATCCCAGGAATTTGCTTGTAATGGAACATTGGTCCAAGACGAAGAACTTGGCCAAGTAATTCAACTTCAAGGGGATCAACGTCTGAAAGTTCAGAATTTCCTTGCTGAAGAAGGAATTGATAAAAAAATCATTAAAATTCATGGTTTCTAAGAACAATTCTCGCTTATTTTTATATAGCCATGTTAAAATACATATATATATTTTGTTTTTCTTTTTCTTATAGAGTTATATATATATTTATTATTATTATTAATAAAAAAATAGTTAATATTAAAGATTAATATAATATGTGAACAAAAAGTTTTTTTTAAATAAATGGGGAAAATAAAGTTAATAAGCAAAAGATAATAATAATCCAACAAAACAAAAGTAAATAAATAATGTTATAACCCACACCAAATCTTGAAAATAAAATGAAAATCTTAATGATAGCTTGAAATTAGTTTTTTATTTAATATATAAATGTTTTTTATATTGTGCTTAAATTATTCATCACAAGAGAAACAAATAAAATTAATAATGTCACAATTCTTAATTAAAATAATAATTTGACTATTTATATATTACCTTTTCTTTACAATGATAATGTACAACTATGCCATTTGGAAAAACAGCAAATGATCAATAATCAATTATTTATTATCGGATCTTCAATTATATATGAAATACCTATTTTCAATACGTCTTGTACATTGAGGGCACATTCGATCTTCGTCAATTTTGACCCTTCGAGATCGATAATACACCAATTGTTCTTCAGCCTAATAATATTTAAGAGTCGTTAATTAAATTAAATCAAATCAATGATAATCACATTCCTAAATATATCTGTTTTTGGTCAGCTTTTAGCAAATTTTCAACAATGGCATCCATATTCCTATTTTGATTACTTTCTCTAATGTATTTCTCAAAAATGAATATAATTCAGAAACTTTTGTTGCAGCTGGAAGCATATTCAATGCCTTATATATTTAAAAACAATAAATATTATAATATCACAATTGTTAATTAAAAAATAACCATTTCTTAAATCTTTACCTCAGTTGCATCCACATGTGACAGTAACCTTAAAGCTGATTCTATTATAACTTGTTCTCCGTTACTCGGATATAAATATATTCTTAACAATGACATAAAAACATTTTTTCTACCATCATCAGTCACTTTATAATTTTTAATACAATATCTATACATTTGTATTAACGCCAACACACACACATATATATATAGTATATAGTTTTGATTGACTTTTTATTAAAAATTTTTTTTGAAACATACTCCTCAGCCAATTGTTCCTTTTTTCAGTTTTTGTACATAGATTTTTAATGCTTGATCATGTCTACTCAATAAAATCGCACGAGCTTCATAAAAATCTATTAAATAATAATATTAATTTTATTATCAATTAACATTATATATATATATGTATATATATTATACCATCTAAAGGCAGTCGCCCTAAAAAATTTTCTGCCTTATTATATATACATTGATTCATCCCAAAACTTTAATAATTGATTACTCTTCTAAATACATATCTATTTAATAAATTGATTTAATATGTAAAAGATATTTATTATTGAAGTTGATTCCAAAATACCTGCTTGATTGCTATTATCACTTTTACATTCTTGGCATATTTGTCTCAACTCCAAAACTTTTTCAAATAAATTATTACCAATCGATTATGATGATTAGGAGTTGCTCATAAATAATATGTTGTAAATATATTATGCAGAAATTTTCTAAATATTTCAAAACTTGATTTTTTGGTAAAATTTTGAACATCAGGAAAATCATCAATAAAAATCTAAAAAAATAATATAAAACAAGTTTTTTTTCTTGCAACATAAATCATCATAACTTATAGCAAGAAAATGAATTTAATTTCATACATCCATTCCATTATCAGGATCATTTTCTAATGCCCAAGTAGCAAATTCCAATATCAATTCAAAGTATTCAATACTTAAGCGTTGAAGGTATGTTATGGTGTAGAATGTTCCTTTCATAGGTCCCTCAGACGATTGACTAAGTCTATGTAATTAATATTTTGAAATGAAGATTTATCTATCTATCTATCAGCATAATTTTAAAGATTTTCGATGTTTGCCTTTTCCATGATATAAATCAACCAATTCTTTATATTTCTATTATATAATAAATTAGGATCATTATTAATATTTTTTTAAAAAAACTTTTTTGTTGCAAATTTCCAAATCATATATATAAATAAAATTTGATTTTTATGATACCTTTCGATCAAATAAAATTCCTTCGGTTTCTTCAACATTTACATAATTATATACACGAAGTAATGGTCCAACTGATGCATCATTGGTCATCATATAAGCCTTTAAAATAGCGTATCTATTAGTTCTGCAAGTTCCAAAATACGGTTTAAGCCTCCATTTGTTAAACCAATTCTATCAGATGATGATGAATCAAGTGACATTTGTTCATTTGGATTATAAACCTGTTGATGATGTAGGATTTTAAAATCTTTTGCAGTCGATCAGTCAAAAATCTTATTAACGCTGAAACAACAGCCTTTTCCAATTCCTTTCTCTATAACATCAAACAATTTAAAAAAGGCGATGAAAATAATAATCATAAATAATGTATTTTAAAAAAGACAAAAATAATATAAACCTAAGATTTCATTTTCTATGGTTTCGATTAAACCATTTTCATCTTCCGTTTGTGCTGCTATTCCTTTTTTTTCATATCAATCTTACCGCATCCCTTCTCATTTATTTTCGATTTATGATGAAGGCAATTTGATACAGATGATGGGTACAAAGCAATAACTTCTGCAGGGCCAGTTTCCAACTCTTGAAAAATAGTCATTTCAGCATCAAAACTCTTGAGTCGAAAAAGATGACGTGCATAAAGATTACGTATTTGATAAAGTTTTGCGTCCTACAACAACAACAAAACAATAATTTTTAATTATGATTTTAAAAAAGTAATTAAAATATAATAATAATTTTGATTTTTACCTTATTTTCAAGATGAAGGGGATCGATTTGTTCAGCCAAACTTATTACCTCTTGATATTCAAGCTTTTTAACTAGTGATCAATCTAACACAATAATTGAATATTCATATATTCATATATATATATAAGTTATTCAAAAATCTTGCCAAAAAAAAACTTGCAAATGTAAATTACAATAATCTTTATTATATACTTGATTTTCAAAATTTATCCCCAAATAGTATTATTATTAGCAATATATAAATATTTTCCTTAATTAATAAGCCGTGGTTGTAGTAGTTCTATTGTTTGTACTAATGATTGAGTAACTATATTCCTGATTTCAACGTGGTTTGGAAGTATAGCTACAAGATAAGGATAGGAATGTCCTAAAGTAAGAATAACAATAAAACAGCGATTAATATTTGTGTATACAAACATACAATATTTATATATTTATAAATAACTTATTTAAAGCTTTCGAACCTATTTATTCTGGTGTTCCTGACCAATCAATTCCAACCTTACGAATAGGTGTACCATCAAGTCCAACGAAAATACTTACATCTAAAATTCAATAAAAATAAGAATATAAATTTTTTCACAATTCAATAAATCAATTACTCGTCGCCTTTCAAAATAATAAAATTTGACGCTCACTATCTTTAGCCAAAAGAATTCATTATTTGATAACTTTGTTATTAATAGCTTACTAACTTTTGCGCTAAATGATGCCACCATATAACTGAAACCAGCATTAATATGTGAAAAAAGCTCCTTCAAAACACCAGAACCAATATCCAACAAAACATATTCATTAGCTAAATCAAGACAAAATTTTGTAAAACACCCAAACTATTGTCCGTATTCTATCAGGTATTGATGTTTCCTAGAATATATATTTATAATATACTTTTAGAGAAGAAATCGGGATCATAAACAATGTGCATGTATAGTTCTAAATACTTTATTATCATCAACAAATCCGGTGTCTTTCCAAGTGAAAATAAGTAATTTCTTTTTTACAGCAACAGAAAGACGAGTCACTATTGTTGAAATTCCACTACCACCTCTTCCTGACTTATTTCAATAGAAGTATCGATTGCAAATAAATTGGCACCATGTGTTTTAGCTAATTGCTTTTGCATGTAAATCATAGATGTTGACATAGAAATCTTTGGAAAATATATTAGCAAACGTATTCATATTTATAATAATAAACTAAGAGTTAAATTATATGTTAACACCATCTTCTGACATTAAAATCATAATAAATTATCTAAAATTTTTATGAAAAACCTGAAAGTGCAACCAATATCACATTTAATTGTTCAATGATCTTTTTGAAAAGTTCTGTAAGTTTCAATTAAATTAACGGACAAAGGTTCTTTCCCTATATTACAAGAGAAAAAAAATCGAATTAGGATATAAAATAACGTTGTTAATATATATGTGTGTATAATTTATAATACCTAAAGGTTCCTTGATTTCATACACAAGTAATGAACCTGTAGAAGTTCCAACAAACAACTTTTGATCTAATATAATGCAAAAGAATTAAACAAATTTCATTAACGTTCTATTGAATTCTCATAAAAATATACCATAAGCATAGAGCAACTCTATTTTGATGTTTAATATATCTAATGCGACAGATATTGTGAATCCCAAGTTTTGTGATTTATTATTTTATTATATATTTAATCAATCAACAAATTTTAGAATGCACTCAATTTTTCATTTGATCTAAATTTTTTTGATTTGATCAAATTTATACCCTCTGGAATATACCAGATCAAAATGTTTATTATTATGGAGAGTCAGATATATTTGATGACATGTATAAATAAAAGCACATGTGTCTTTAATGTATATAGAACCAAGACTGCCGTTCGAAGAACAAGAATATATTATTACAAAGGTCATAATTTACTGTATATTAATATCATTTTTGTTACCATTTATTCATCCGTTTAAGATAGTCATCATAAATTAATATTTTTACAACAAAATAATGGCCTTTATAATATACAATACTCGGAAGAAAGTATCATAATAGTGTTCCTTGTCACAACCATTTTTATATAACACAAAGATGGTTGCATCCAATCATCAAAAGCTGCAGCCAGTAGTAACCTTATATCATAAAAAATTTTTACATAATAATAGCTTTACGTAAAATTTATAATTGTTGGTTCAATTTTAAAACCAAAATTGAATATTAATATATCGCGATTTTGAATCACGTTTTAATTTTTAACTCATTAGTATTAGGGGGGGTGTCATAATTCTAATATAATGTCACATAATGTCGATCAATAGGTTTGTTTTTTCGAGAGCACATGTATTTCCGAAACACTACTAGTCTACGAAAAAGAGATATCATTCCCGTTTTTGAATATATCTCTCTAGTTAATCGGTACAGAAGTTTTTTATAAGGGTTTGAAAGGATCAAGAAAATTCTATTAAATATGACCTCCAACATTATGATTTGAAAGTGCTTAAAAAAAAAGTGGCCGCATCATCATAGATTTGCATTGGTAGAAAATGGAAAAGGTCACCGCCTTTATTATTAATAATTCAAAGAAAATGCCCGGTTACACGACACAATTTTTAATGTTGGGTTGCCGATCACTAAACATTAAAAATTGGCTACTAAAATTTTTAAAGGCATCTTTGTAAAAAGCTGACCATTTATTTTTATTAATTATTATACTGTATATATGAAATTTCGATATAAAGAGGTAAAAAATTTTTTATTTGTAATTCGGTAAATAGAGGTTCGTTATTATTATACAGTATATATATATAGTAATTAGTTTTACTGTAGCTCCCAAAGATTGTCAATTTTACTGTCGCCTTTAGTTTAGATTATTACAAAATTTAGCCAATGAAATCAAATGCCCACTATGCTTGCACCCAGTAGTGGATTGTACTACCGACACACGGATTTTGAGCTGCAGTTAATTCTGGCAACCAATTGCTAGCGAAATAATAATATTTATCTTTTTAAAACCAAAGCATACACATATATTTATCTCTTTTAAAAAAAGGATAGGATAACCACACAATTATTTTCACTTAAAAAAATGATAAGACATTTCGAATGTAAGTTTTGTTATTGATTAGATAAATCTTTGATCTTTTTAATGAAATTTTTTAAAAGTTATTTTTATTGTATTATTTGTTAGATTTTGCTGGTGAACGACGTCTTCTTCAAATAGCCTCACTCTCTTTTTTGAAAGATACACGTCTTGGAATTGATGGTGCACATTGGTTACGTAAACTATTGCAAACATGTGCTAAAGAGCCTGCTATTGCTGCATTAGGAGGTATTCCGATTGGACTTAAGAATGCAATTGAAGAAGAATTGCAACAATTCAAGTAATTATTGTTAATATAAATATTGATATTTTAATTATATTTCAAATAAATGAAATGGTTCTTTATTGATGATTACAAAGGTTGCATGGAATTACACCAGTTTTTGTGTTCAATGGACTTAGTATAATTCGTAAGGATAAACCATTTTCTTCGGAAGATACAAGACCTTCTAAACGAGCACAAGCATGGGACCTTTACGAAAAAGGAAGGATGGATGCAGCTTATAGTAATTGGGTGGTTTCTGGTTCTATTCACCAGCCTGAATTATTATATTTTGTATTTAAAATTTTAAAAGAGAATGATGTGGAATTTATTCGAGCACCATATTTAGCTTGGGGTCAGGTTAGATTTATTTTTCAATCATCATCGTCATCATCATCATCATCACCATTATCATCATCATCCATATCATTATCAAATATAATATACAAAGATAAATTATGTAATAATTGGTGGAAAAAAATTTTTTTTTTCATCAAATTTTACTTCTGGAGGATTGTTGCTGGATCTTTGATAATTTTCTTTTGCAAACATGTTTCCTCCTATTTATTATCATTAGACTATGGATGCAAATTTTTCATGAAATCAAGATCATTTTTGATAGAACAAAACTCATGTCACCTTCATTCTCTATGTTGTATAAATAATCACTGATGAAATCTTCAACAGTTGATATATTTAGAGCGAAATCCTAAAGGTTACATTCATGCTATATATGGTAGCTCAGAACTTTTGATGTACAATGTTGAAAAAGTTATTATAAGTTTGGAGTTGGAAGTAAGTCTTTGATCATCTATTTGTTACTCATTACTGGAATAAACAAATGGGCTCACTCAACGAACTTAATTAACTACTTATTTATTTATTAGAAAGATATATATACTTGGTATAACAAAAAAACTATTTTGCATGAACTTGGAATTACTGATGAACAATTCTTGGATGCCTGTGTTCTTGCAGGTTTTGAACATTGTGGTACCTTTCCACCGCTTAACGTTGAATATAATAGTTTCCACTTTAAGAGTGTGCTTGACCTAATCAAACAGTATCGAACTGGTTTTAATGCAGTACAGAACTATGCGGAACATCAAGGTGTTATAAAGACAAATTATGTTGAAACATATTGTCGCACTCAATGTGCAATAAAGTATCATATGGTATTGACAGAAGAAGGAAAGGTTGAACCTTTAAATTCTGAAAACTCTCCAAGTGACATTCATGATGTTATTGGTTATCGTTTACCTGATGAGATTTATTATTATTTATCAAGAGGATTGATGTCACCACAGGTTTGTTTATTCATACTTTTTTAAAATTGCTTATTTAGTTAGTATATATGATTGTTATCAGATAAATATTTATTTTAATGATGATGATGACGATGACAATATTTTCTTTGATTGGTTTTATATAGGTTATCAATACTTTGATATCAGGAGTTTTAATTGAAAACCCTCCTTTATGTAATGGAGAAACACAAGAATATCGGCAATTTCTCAACCAACTATTAGAAATTAGAACATATGCAATGGGATTGCTTACTCAACCTTTACATCAATTTTATCAATCTAGAAAAGTTATAAGTGTATATTGGTTCGAACCAAATAATGAACATACTTTAAATCATAATGTTGTGCCAAGTGTGCATGACACTTTGAATACTTGGAATGTCTTGGAAAAGAGCTTAGAGGAAGAAAAGAAAGCACAAAATGTATGATATTTTTTTAACGCTAAAATTAGCAAATCCTGTGTCAATAATAATATTTTATTATTTTATTTAGACTCCTCTTATCAATCTTGCTTTCTGTTTAAGAGCAACAATGACAGAAAGTCAATCTTCTAAGACTATTATGCCCAAAAATAATGATAAAATGATTGAATCAAAAGATGAGATATTATCAAATGTATTGTGGAAACTTTTAGAATTGAGAAAGTTAGTTTTTTAAAAAAAAATCTGGTTTCTTTTGATTATTTTTTTTTTTTCAAAATTACAATAATTATTAAGATTTGATGGTTATTTTTATGACTTTTTAGGTTTTTGACATCATCCCATACACAAACAGCATGGGGTGTTGCCTTTACTAAAGCTCTTAAACCAGTTGATTCTAAATCTGAACAATATATTGAGCAATTATTTTCAGCATTGGAATTAATTAGATTTGGATATTTAAATGGTAATCATTATAGTAAAGTATATTACAATGCACCTAACCTTGACAGTGGTATGTATTGTTATTATTTTATTATTAATTTTTGAAAAAAAATATATACTGACTTTATTTTTGTAATTGTTGTTATAAAAGAAGAAAAAAAGAATGTTTTAATAATTTCAAGAACTCTAAGCATAATTCCTATGAAATTTAAAGTACTTAAAAAAATTAAATTAAAAATTTTATACATATTACATTATATATATGTATGTGTGTAAATAATAACATGATTTACAACTTAAATAGGGAAAATCTTGGAATGGGCCATTAAATAGGGAACTTTTGGCATTTAACAGTTTTTTAAAAACTTTAAATCGATCTTTACGGAATCTTTGTGAAATGTTGACTTTATCAATGTTTTTGAATGGAGATTGTTTAAAAGAACGAAATGATTATCTTGATATTGCATTAAGGTTTATAGATTTCTTACTCAAAATAGATTTATATTTATTTATTCATTATTTTATTAAATTTTTTATGTATTTGTTGATAATAACAATAACTACAATGATGACAATAGTCTACCATTTTTGTTTGATGTCAATACTGGATTGGGTATAGTTGCAAAAACATATTTAGAAAATATTATAAGTTCATCGAAAGAAAATGAAGATAAAAGTGAGTCCAGTTCTAAGATTGCTAGTTCAATTAAAAAACTTGAAGAAACATTTACATCATGTGTTGATGTAAAATCTGACTTGTTGAATGGATTTTCTTTTTGGGATCAAGTAAATGAAAATATATTTTTTCCTTGTTCGTTTTTGTTTCATCTGTTTGTTTATTATTGAAAAAATTTTTTTTAGATTATTGTGGCAATTAATTCTCTCAAAGCTAATGGAACTATTTCGGATGATCTTTCTACACAATTCTTAAAAGCAAATGAATGGTTATCAACCAAAAGACCATAATAACAATAAAAAAAAAGAAAATATTAAAATATTAGAATTCATTAATTATATATGATTGGATTATGTTTAGCAGTTTGGCAATTTGGTTGCCTTGATGTATTTATTTAAGTGGTAATTAAAACAAACATCTAAAATAACCCCTTAATTTGCCTAATAACCCTTAAAAGATTTGGGCAGAAACAAAATTTGACCATAATCTCATTCCATAAATTCATTCCATTATCTTCAGGAGATTTACAAGCATTTGGTTTAGTATGATAGTATTTACAATATAGTGCAGGGTTTTAAAAAAATTTGCCTAGGTCTCCTCTCTTTTGGATAGTTCTTAGCTAGAGGCTAATTAACTATAGATTCCTCAAAAAAAAAAAAAAAAAAAAATAACAAAAATAACATCCAGTCTAACCATCTAATCTAAAAATCTATTTGTTGCTTTATATAATGTGTGTGAATGAAGTTAAAGTGAATTATTATCAATTTCCATAAAAGAAAATCCCTTTTATTTTATATCAAGCAATTTGGATGAGAAACTAATTAGTTAATATCATGTCAAGAGTTGAATATAAGTTGGCAAAAGTTGTAGCATTATGATTATCATGAAAAAGAATAAAGAATGAATATAAACTATTTATTCTATACCATTACTATAATAATATGAAAAACATACGAAAAGACATATTTTTGATAGATCAATAGGATGCAGTACTAATACACGGTGATTGGATTTACACCGATCATTTAATTATTTGTATAAAACCACAAGTCATAATACATAAATCTATAACGCACATAATAATCAGCCATGTGCTTCTAAGATATTCTCCTGCGACCATCAAATATAATAAGAATCCCATTTCAAAAATTTCCAGAGATAATAATGAGCTTCGGATCTCCATATTTTTTACATGCCAAAGGATGGGATCCACAATATATCTTTTGCTGGCTGATCCTTGAATCCTAGAAGAGATTAAAGAACTTGGTATTTGATGAAGAAGTGTTTGAGGAATATGGTAGAGAATCAATATTATGATAAAGAATCAGACCTTTAACAACTGCCTGATTTATCAAAGAGAGTAACTTTACTGATTTTCTTGTTAGCTCAATTCAGTTGACTTCATACTTGGCGAAGTCTAGTTTGGATGCCATATCAAGAAAAGACCATTATCTGAATCTTCCATTTTGAACAACCATAATCGAAGTTGTTTGGACACATGGAACCATTGCTTGAATTACTTTGTATGGGATGATTTAATTGATATTTATACTTTTAAACAAAGTTATATCCATAATTTAGTATATGAAATGATTATTCGGATCCAAAATCCTGGATCGACCCAAGTTTACTGGACTTGGAAGTTTTTCTCTCGATCCACGGCTGATTCGTTGATGATAAGTTTTAATGAGGACTTTCTTGCCCCCCGGAAAAACTGGATAAAATGGGTTCGATGCAAAAGCCCAAGTTTGTGCGTTCTAGTTTGGATTCATACTACATTTTTGAGGTCGCGTCCCGGTTTTTCTTTCTAGGATGGAGTTTTTTTACTTGTACCACAAAGGTTGTTAGAACTTGCTAGAGATGGGCAGATCAGTACTATATGTATGTATAGTTCTAGAAAAATATAGTAGTAAATGTAAATCAATTCCTGTTTAGGTTATTGCCAAATAATAGATGTAATATTACACATAAGAATTAATTAATACTCTTCTCATGATATATATATTTTAAACTTGCCTGCAATTTGGCAACGTACCACGTGATCTTTTCATAATATCTTGATTTTGCGGATATCTCGATTTAGCGGATAATTTTTTTGGAACGAACATATCCACTAAATCGAGATACACTGTATACTATGTTTTTGCAGTAGAAATAAATTTTTGTTACATGTCCCACGACTGATAATCAATGCCTATGTTACGCTAAAATTATATGAACTGTCGACGAAATGGCTGTCGACGAAATGAACTGTCGACGAAATGATTGTCGATGAAATGAACCAGACACATTCTGATTATTTGATGTGATAAAAGTTGTCCAACTTCCATATTTTTTTACACATGATTAATATGATGCGAAGATCTCAAATTTATTTTTGTTTTTTTACAAGTTTTTGACTTTACTACTCAACAACCCTGGATTCAGAAAATATGGCGCAATATATACTTATATCACGGATTATAGAAGTTTACCTAAACTAAAATGTGATGATGCCGAAACTCGAAAAAAAAAAGGTTATAGAAACTAATAATCCGAAACTTGGTCACTTTGTCGAAACTCAATCACTGTGCTGAAACTGCGGTTTGTTGTCGAAACTACAAATGAACGCTGAAACTCGATACATTGATTTGCTAGATGAATTTCCAATCTACTAGGATAAGCTCTATCCCATCTCTGATGACAATATTTACAAGT